CAATAAAACACACTGATTACGAAATATCGCTCTCCGAAACTTCCTGGTTTTTTTTTTTGCAATTTGGTTGGGGTAAGACGTTATCACTTCCCGGCTATGTATAAATAATATCAATCAGTCTAATATATAAACCACACAAATTTAACAGATACAAATGCATGTTATTCCATAGGTAGACAGACAGGGTCCCCTGTCAAGGGGCTCAGTTAAGGGGACGCAGTTGGTTTAAAGTTTGAATATTTGCGCCCCATCTCCAATGAAAACAATCATGTTGCTCTGATGCTGTCCTCAACCAGTATCAAACATATATCGTACCTGAGATTTGTAACAAATCGCCTTTAGCATGTTCCACACAATCCAACATTTATCGGCACAGGGATTAAGGGTATAAATCTTTGTTTCTAACGTTTATTGGGAATACGTCACGGAAACTACAATAAAAACAATTTGTTTACAAAAACATTCTAAAAAGTGAAAACTGACATATTTCAAGCGTTACTATATTTAAAGAAATAATTTAAATCAGCCGGCTGAAACCCCATCTCCGCTCTTTGTTCATTCTTTAGGCATATATTGCCCGTTTCCACCGATATCGCAAACAAGTGTTCAATCTATAAAAGCATACATTCCTACAAAATGTTTTTTTAGTCAAGTGAAACAAGAAAATCCATAACTCTGCGAGGGTGGGGTGAGTAAATTCGTGGTAACAAGTCTGAATGGGTCTAATGGGACAATAGAACAAGGTCACCTTGATCTTGACAATATACGTAAGACGATATGAACATCAACTAAAAAGATATATAAATTGATTCAGCTGCAAGGTAATATATTATATGCAGCATAGATAATTAAAATCTCTATTCAAGTTAAACCAACTGTATCTATTTATATTTAAGTCTTACGTCTAGTTGAATAAATTATATGATTTATTGTCATTAAAACATCTATTGGTAGTTAACAGTGTGTAACTAAAAACTAAAATTGGATCTTTATTTTTTGCCAATTATTTAATGTACCTTACTATTAGATTTTATTTGGACAAAGGAGTTTGTTTTTGCAGAGGTGTTTTTAAACACATGGGCAACTGTTTAAAACTCTATAACTAAGTATTGAAATGGATGGCATGGGATGAAAATACTTTATTTTTTAAACATGGTTAAGACAGAAGTAGATGGTCAGAGGGGGGGGGGGCATGTATACATTACCCTTTTCCTGTTCTATATGTTAAGAGGCCTGGAAAATTATCTGGGTGTCACCTATAGACCATTTTGTAAACCTACCCATTCAAATCACCAGAAATGGACAGAACTGGCTATAGGGCAGTTATCAAGTACCTGCACGGACTAATCCCAACACAGATACATGCGGACATGGTTACCCGCGTCCTGGAAGGCCATCAACAGCAACCAGTCAACAAAACATTACCCGGGTGCATGACATGGTGATGGCTGGTCGACGACTGACCACACGACATATTGCCAGATGTGCGGGCATCTCTCATGAGAGGGTTATAGGCACATTATCGGAAGATAGGTGCCAAGGCTCTTGACTTCCGAATCAGTGAATTTGATAATCTGCGCCGTTTGGAAGCTGATTCTGATAGCTTTTGGCCAGATTTGTAATCTGGATGAGACCTGTTACCAATCAGCGGCTGCCACGCAGGATACGCCAACATTTTTCAAGAGATGGATCGAGGACAAACTAAACAAAACGCTAAACAAAATCAAGGGCCATAATTCAGGAAGGTACAATCAGATACGTGCGAATATCGATAGGAATCAACATCTTTGGCTTATAAAACATGCATTTCAAGTTTCATTAAAATCGGATCAAAATTGTGACCTCTAGAGGGTCCACAACCTTGATATACCAGATGTTTACACTATTTGCGTAGACCGGTGTCCATTTTGTCTGGCAGTTTTGGTCCGATTTTCATGAAATTCGAACTCAACCAACAATACGGTGTAACGGCGACATATTCGATACTAACCAGACAATTATTATGACCCGTCTGACTAAAGTCTCTATAATCATAATTATTTTAGCTTTGGACGGGTGCTATCTCAAATTGGCATATTTCCATTCTAATTTGCACTTACTGTAGCCTTATTTTGTCAAATGGGGGCAACTGAACTGGATAATCACAGTAGGCCATGCACTGAAATGGATGTAATTATCATTTCGGCCACGCGTAACTAAAACAAACCAACAATGTGACAATATTGGAGTAACACCACTTATGAATGTAAACAATCGATCGATTTCTGAGAGTTTGTTGATGGCAGGAGCTGATATCAATCAAAGTGATAACACCGGAAAGACGGCTTTGATGGCAGCAGCACAAAACTGTAATAGATCTATTTTAGAATGTTTACTCAACGCTGGAGCTGATGTTAATAAAACTGATACAGATGGAAGATCAGCTTTACATGGTATAATGGTTGGTGGTGATGATAGGAGTCGGAAATGGATCAACTGTCTAAAATTACTTTTGATCAATAAATGTCACGAGTTTCTTGATATTCCAGGAGAAGTTGGTATAACTTTACTCCAGTGGTTACTGGAACAAAACGAAAAGGATCTTATATGGTATCTTGTTACAGAAAATTGTTCTCTCAAAGGTTTGGATCTTTCAAAGGTCAAAGATAAATTTCTGTTTCCAGATACATTGATGCTTTCAAAAATTCTTTTTGAAAGTGGAGCACAAAAGTGTAAAGTAGAGATGTTTATTTGGTTGTCTCTTTCCACACATAATTCGGTGCTGGGAGAATCTGAAGATAAACAACAACTTGATGATTTCCGCAATTTCTGTCAATCGAGAAGTTTGAAGTCAAGATGTAGAAGAGAAATCAGAAACTGTATCGGACCAGGAATCAGCAGTAAAATAACTCAAGTTGATTTACCAAGTAAAACGAAATTTTGAACTATAAAAACGAAACGAAATAGGATCTGTGTTTTAATCAGATTGGTTATGCTTCATTCGTCTTTCGTCTGAAGATGTCTTATCCGGCACATTCAGAGAAGGTTTTGCACACCCAACATGTTTAAAAGTGATAGGAGACCCCCCCCCCCCACTCCACTGCCGGCGTCTGTGTTGTTTAATATATAGGACTATTAATCATTGAATTAATAATGGCAGTATAACAAAGACTGTATGATCAACGGTATATTTATCAATCTCAATTTATTTATAAACTTATGGCACGTCTTTAGAAACGTGTTTAGCCCAAATCACTTATAACAATGTATAGTTAAGGTAAAACTTGTTCACACAGATAGCAGAACATTAGGACGTTAAATCCCATTCATCTTACTGTTATTAACAATGTATAGTTACAGTGCGCGTAGGAATTTGATCAAAAGAACCGAACATTTTGATCCGAGTTGAGCCAAGATCCGACTTACAAAATCTGACTTAAGCACAGAAATTTAATAAGAAAAACATGCAGGATCAAAGGGTCCAAACTATTTTATCGGAGTTGAGCGAAGATCCGACTTAAATCAATCCAACTTGTGCGAAGTTTCCTGTATTTTACCATTTCACGAACATCTCCGCGCAATCAAGTCCCTATTTCCATGGCTTGAAGTAGATCCGTGGCATCAAGCGTAAGTAGACATTTTTCGTCGCTTTAATTAGTTGAGATACTTGTTTCCGTTCCTCTATATAAATTACACCCAGCCGATGTCAGCAGAACTATGTTGTATTTGATATACAGGTAATCCAGGTAAGTCTTAATTCGTATTTATCAAATGGAGAATATTAAACCTGTGTAAACCTCTATCTTTGATCTGGGTGGCGTACAACGAACAATACCAATCAGTGTTCTTAATCAATCTACTATCGCGGTATTAATAAATGTATGACCCCATGTGTGCAACTTTTAGTCGTATTGATTAATGAGGTGTACACTTGGGGTCATAAATAAACAAAACTATTCTCAAATAATCCGTTATTCAATTTAGATGGTGACCAACAAAATTAATTAGGCCAAAATTAGTTGTATGTTCATTCTAACGTAGTGAGATATTTTTTTCCTATTTCAGAGTGCGATCAGTGCGCGGGGGTTTCCATCAAATGGGCACAAAACCAGACCTAAATTTTCCGTAGAATACGATGCCTAGTGGTAATCAGTCCTCCGTTGAGGCGTTTGCGAGATATTCTAATATCATAAAAATCAGCCATTCTTGTATCATGAAAACATGCTAAAAATGATCGAAAGTGATCACTCGTTCGATAAAAATGTAAACTTGCTAAATTCACATTTGTTCTTTGTGACCCCGGACTATATCTTGGGAGGTTGAAATAGTTTCTCAAATAAATGTTAATTATAACATTACAATTATTACTCTGTTTCTGTGATGGTATTTGGAAAATAAAAACATTTTGACAGCACCAATCTCTGCATTATTAAGATCTATTTAACTTGACATATAAACAACAAAACATCAGTCAACCATCATTTTGATCAGCTAATAGTTTCATGTAAGAACCCACCATATCAAATGGATTTAGCATTGACGACTGCAGAGTGAATATTTAGTAGTATTACGCCAATCCATATTGTACTTTTACTTTCACTTTATATTCTAAGAATAGTGTACTTTTACTTTTACTTTCACTTTACATTCTAAGAATAGTGTACTTTTACTTTTACTTTCACTTTATATTCTAAGAATAGTGTACTTTTACTTTTACTTTCACTTTACATTCTAAGAATAGTGTACTTTTACTTTTACTTTCACTTTACATTCTAAGAATAGTGTACTTTTACTTTTACTTTCACTTTATATTCTAAGAATAGTGTACTTTTACTTTTACTTTCACTTTATATTCTAAGAATAGTGTACTTTTACTTTTACTTTCACTTTACATTCTAAGAATAGTGTACTTTTACTTTTACTTTATATTCTAAGAATAGTGTTTCTTAGAAATTAAATAACTGTGACTAGAATGTTAGCCTGTTCAACCTGACAATTGAAATCATGTGTGTCTGGTTATACGAGACTATAGGTGTTGTATCAAACAAGATTCACTGTGGCCAGTTTACCGCTGAATTATTTAACAAATTTGCCTTGTCTTCAGTTTCACATGTTAAAATGAGTTGGCGTAAATCACAGCAATTCAAAAAACAGTAAGTAGACCATAATGTTATAAACGTACTAATATTCTATTATATATACCCGTTGAACTATAACTATTATATTATACATATCAACAATGTATAATATATACTGCTTTAACCACCGAACACACATCAAATGACACGTCACATTAAAGGAGCTAAATCGTTAATATTTGGGACCTCGAAATTGACACAAATGGGTCGCAACGCATATAATATACGTAATATCAATGTATACTGAGAGCCATGGAAAACGCATCACTTTTTTTCCCAAATATTTTATTACTAGGTGGTTTTGTATGTATAATATTATGCAATACTATGAACTATTGTTTCACACAATGCTCCCAAACGCAAAAAATATCGGCCCCGCGTGCACAAAAAAAATTGCACGAGATGCACATGAAAAACCCATTATTCACGTGCAGCATTGTGTGTGAGCCCTTTAAAAGCATGTTTTCAACTTAATGTGCAGTACATGAACTGTTAAACGTCAATCTGTCGTAATTTGTTGTTGGACGTGTGGAGGAATCGAGCTAGAGATGCCAAGACTTAATGAAAATCAACGGAATGAAGCCATGGGAATGTCCAGGGCTGGCATGTCTACATGTGCTATTGCCAGACACTTCAATTGTCATCAGTCCACTATTGTAAGGTTGGTGGAACGTGTTCGAGTTACTGGATCAACACGTGGCCGTCAACGTCCTGGTCCACAACACGTTACAACCCAGGCTCACGACCGCTACATCCGGGTCACTCATCTGCGTGACAGATTCCGCCCAGCGACTCGAACAGGTGCAGCAGTCGTCGGAAGACAAGGACCAGTAAGTGCCAACACCGTAAGACATTGTCTAAGAGAAGTAGGACTCCGTGCACGACGACGTTATGTTGGAGCTATCCTCAGGGATCATCACCGTCAGCGGCGTTTGATATGGGCTCAAGGACATCAGACATGGAGAAGAGTAGACTGGCAAAGTGTGCTGTTCAGTGATGAGAGTCGCTTTCATCTTTATCACGCTGATGACCGTCAACGTGTGTGGATACGTCTTTGGGAACGTCTTGCAGACTGCTGCGTCTTCGAAACGAATCGATGGGGTGGGGGAAGTGTAATGGTGTGGGGAGGCTTCACATTTCATCACCGGACCGCCCTACACATTTGCAGGGGTCGCGTTAATGCTGTAGCCTACCATGATGATGTCTTGCAACCAATTGTTGTTCCGATGTTTCGAGCGCACCCACAACTTCAGCACTTCCAACAGGATAATGCACGTCCGCATACCGCATCGATAGAACATGTCTGGGATGAGATTGGACGCCGTCTGTATCGGAGACCACAGATGCACACCATTGCTGCTTTAGAAGCTGCTCTTGTCCAAGAATGGAACAATTTGCCCCAGGCCTTCTTTCATACATTGGTAAATTCCATGCTACGTCGCTGCACAGCGTGCGTAAGAGTCCGTAGAGGACACACGCGCTACTGACATCGGTGTCGTACTTTTGGTATTGACCCCTCTGACTTTGTACCGTTGATTACAGATTAAACATTCATAAGTGTACAAATGTGTTGTTACTGATGTGTTCCCATTTGAATATTGTTCACAATAAGAATCAAAATAAATAAGATAAGTTTACAGGATCATTTTGTTATACGAAAAACTAAGTGATGCGTTTTCAATGGCGCTCAGTATATATAAACTGATTACATCAATCGTTTCTAATTTCACTATAATTTCTAATCAGCCAGGTTCGGCGAAATACGCCAGAAGTCTCAATCGAATGACAATCTCTAGCGTCTGGTTATTCCAGTTTACATCGATAGTATTTATTGCGCATGCTCTCCAGATAAGAATATGGCGTCACCGTTTGATACACTATTCGTGTACCAATGGTAAAATGATTTTTTTGTCTCAATTATTGGATATCGGAAGCCCACCTTTTCCCGGTAAGATCACAACATCAATGTTGATTTAAATTGACAAATAATTCGTGCTTCCACTTTTGAAGATATTGAGTTACAGACTTACCTACTTTAAATAATGACCCTGAAAAACACAACACATAAAATTAAGTGGAATGTTTATAATATACATATACACTCTATTACTGAAATAGCCACGAAGCTTGCTATGGCGATATATTCCATTTGATATAAATATAAACTCTATAACTGAAACAACCAACAAGCTTGCTATGGCGATACATTCCATTTGATATTATCACGAGGTTATCCTATCACGTGACATATATAATTTTATCGTAGTTATTAAAATAAAATCGTTATATGTAGATGATTTTTCAAACTATAAAGAATTCGTGTACCTGCTGGGTCATTTCCGATTTTCAGAACCCCGACGTGTTCTAGATATTGACAATGGTAACTACTCATAGTATTGAAGTACGGTATACTTATAAAACATTAAAATTCCGTATCTTCATGGCAACCCATCTTTAACATTGGTTGTATTTTTCTATTTCAGGCTAAAAAAGGCGTTAAATAAAAATGATACAATTGCCGTAGGAAGAATTATACAGGCATTATGGGATGACTGTAAACCACCTCCAATGTGGATAGAACTCTGTAAAGATGCACTTAAGAACAGATGTCTACCTATGGTGAAATTGTTGATGCCCCCAGAGAATATTGCAAACATCTTTGTAGAGGATCAGACCAATATACAATTGATGAAGGCTGCAATAGAATCTAATTTCATAGAGGGTATTAAATTTTTCCACTCTAAAGGAATACCTCTGCGTTTTGCCCTAACTGAGTCCGTTCTAAACAATAACGCCGAGATATTAAAATATCTTCTTGAACTAAAAGATCTAGATAAAAACCCAGATGAAGAGGAAACGTTATTAATGTTATGTTGCCAGGAACTAAACATCGAAATTTTGGAGATTTTGTTGAAGAGTGAACTGATAAATACTATTAACCAACAGTCAGAGATATGTAAATATTCTGCCCTACACTGTTGTATTGATGGAAGGAACTATTGTATGAATTGGTTTATTGGTGAAAGCAATCTGGGGAGAGCTCATGGTTGTGTAAAATTATTGGTGGAGGCAGGAGCGGATGTTAATCTACAAGATATGGATGGGAAAACGCCCATCCAACTGGCTGCTGAATGTGGTATGGTGACAACGGTAATATATTTGGCCCAAAGAGGAGCAAACGTTAATATTAGAAGCCATCTAGGTAACCTTCTTCATTGTCTTGCAGTGAGTAGGATATGGGTATATTCATACGATGAATGTGTCCAGCTATTAATAACCCATGGTATGGACATAAACCAGCTGAACTCATGGAATGAAACTCCACTGTATTTAGCGGTTAGTTATGGAAATGAAGAGATGGTGAAGACATTAATTAAATCACACTGTGATGTCAATATTACACCCGTCTTACTGAAGTCTATAAGAAGACAACATACGACTATTACTGAAATACTGATTAAAGCTGGGTGTGATGTTAACAGCACTGATAAAGACGGCGTTACACCTTTAATGGAATGCATGGAGATGGGTAATCTTGTTTTACTTAAACAACTTATTGACCACGGTGCATCTGTCAACGCTAAAGATAACAAAGGATGTTTTGTATTGGACTATTTATTTCCTGATTACCACCATACGAACGATCAATCTACTTCAGCAGATATTATTAAGATGTTGATAGAGGCTGGGGCTCATATTAATAAATGTAATAATTTGTTGTACAGATCAATGAATCGAGGATATTATGATACGGCTCAAATTCTTATTGAACACGGCATTGATGTCAATACACTGGACGAAAATGGAGATAATCCCCTCGTTCTTGCCTGCAAAAAAGATAGATTCGAACTAGTGACATTGCTGACTTCAACAGATTGTGATAAAAATCACCAAAATCTAAAAGGAGAAACAGTGTTGCACAAAGTGTCGAGATATACTGCTTCTAATCAAAACAAGAAGAAAATAATAAAGACGTTACTAGAGAATGGGATGAACGTGAATCTTAGTGACGTCGATGGACTAACGGCCTTGTCCATAGCAGTAGGTAATAGAGAAAGATCTATTACTGAAGAATTATTGAAGGCTGGTGCTGATGTAAACCATTGTGATAACAGAGGAACAACCCCAATGATGATCGCAGTTAACAATACGCATAATGTTATGGTAGATGTTCTATTGAAGGCTGGTGCCGATCTGAAACCCAGAGATGAATTAGGTAGAAATGCGATATTCCTTGCAACACTCTTGAATGCTTCACTGGAGTTAGATATTTTACTTAAATATTCAAACTTGAGAGGTGAAGCAGCGAGTATCGTTAATGCCACAGATAAAGATGGTAAAACATCTTTGATGGTGGCAGCAAAAAGAGGAAATAAAGATATGGTGGAAAAACTACTCAGAGCTGGCTGTAATATCAACCTACAAGATCATGGTGGTAAGACGGCTTTGATGTATGCTGTAGACAGCCAGCATGAAACTATTTTATCACTTCTATTACAGAAAGGCGCAGACTGTAATATTTGTGATGCCAATGGCAAAACAGCGTTGATGGTGGCAGCAGAAACAGGACGTAACGGTGTGGTAGAAAAACTACTTATTGCTGGCTGTAATAGCAACCTACAGGACCATTGTGGTACGACGGCTTTGATGTATGCTGTATACAACCAGGATGAAACTATTTTATCACTTCTACTACAGAATGGTTCAGACTGTAATATTTGTGATAACAATGGCCAAACAGCGTTGATGGTGGCAGCAGAAACAGGACGTAACGGTGTGGTAGAAAAACTACTTATTGCTGGCTGTAATAGCAACCTACAGGACCATTGTGGTACGACGGCTTTGATGTATGCTGTATACAACCAGGATGAAACTATTTTATCACTTCTACTACAGAATGGTTCAGACTGTAATATTTGTGATAACAATGGCCAAACAGCGTTGTTGATGGCGGCAGAACAGAAACAAAGAGATGGCCATTGTGAAGAATTGCTGAAATCTGGTGCATCTGTAAACCATGTTGATAATGATGGAGATACAGCATTAATGATTGCAGTTGAGTCGAATAACGGGAAGATTGTAAATGATTTACTGGAGGCTGGAGCCGATGTCAATTTGAGTGATAATAATGGAGAGACGGCTTTGATGATAGCAGCACGGAACCATAACAGGTCTATTTTAGAATCTTCACTAAACGCTGGAGCTGATGTTAATAAAACTAATACAGATGGAAGATCAGCTATACATGCTATAATGTTCTATAATGATTACGGCCCGCTGTGGATCAACTGTCTAAAATTACTTTTAATCAATAAATGTCACGCGTCTCTTGATACACCAGGAGAAGTTGGGGGAACGTTATGGTTACTGGATACACCGAGACAGGACAGAACAAATCTATTTGAATGGTTACTGGAAAGAAACGAAGAAAATCTTATATGGTATCTCGTAACGGAAAATTGTTCTCTCAAAGGTTTGGATCTTTCAAAGGTCAAAGATATAGTTCAATTTCCCGATATGTTGATGCTTTCTAAAATTCTGTTTGAAAGTGGTGCACTGAAGAGTGAAGTAGAGACCATGATTTTGTTGTCCGTTTTAAATAGTGGTTTGTCGCTTTCCACACATAATCCTGCGTTGGGTGAATCTGAACATAAACAACAGCTTGATGATTTCCGCGATTCCTGTAAATCGAGAAGTTTGAAGTCAAGATGTAGAAGAGAAATCCGAAACTGTATCGGACCAGGAATCAGCAGTAAAATAACTCAAGTTGGTTTACCAAAACTTCTACAAGATTATATCGTCATGAAAGACTTGATACCCGAGAAATACTTTACTCTTGTACTAAACGATGAGGATGACGTCGATGAAAATTATATTTTTAATGAAACAGATTACTATGACAATTATCATGATGATTATTCTGACTAAAGACTTTATAACCGTAACTATTGACTACAAAGTTACTTTAAATTGGAATGTACATTTACTATATCCTTCTTTATCAACTGGATAATCATAGCTATTGGTTAGAGTCTACTGTTGTGAACTGGATAATCAGTAATATTGGTTAGCGTCTACTGTTGTCAATTGGATAATCATAGCCATTGGTTAGAGTCTACTGTTGCGAACTGGATAATCATTAATATTGGTTAGCGTCTACTGTTGTGAACTGGATAATCATAGCTATTGGTTGGTATCCGCTGTTGGGTGGAAGTCACAGGAAGGTAAATTGGACCCAAGTCGAGCCCAACATGACCGTCCCGCATATTTATGAGTCTATTTATAACTTGGGGTTAGGGTTAGGATTATAAGGGTTACGAGAGAGATCATAATATAGGTTATGCCTGTTCCGCAATCCCTTTCAAGTTTTGAATAAAATATTGCTTAAAAAAAATAATTATATAGGCCCTACGGTAGCCATATTGGACTTAACTTTGGATCAATTTACCGCTGACCGTTGGATAACCTGCCGTAAAGGAAGTATTGGTGTCAGTCATTATCACTCAGCCTTTTGTTTTCGACACTTCCTCTTGTAGAAACCATCATTACGCATCTACTGTAGCAATGATCTATATGTTAAAATTATATTTGGTACATGTTACACAAGTTATATCACATATGTGATAATGTCTGACACCAATATTGTCCTTTAAATGACATCAGACCTGTTCTTGCTTGACGGTGTTATTCACATCAGGAGGAGATGATGTAGGACAGAGTCTGACGTAAAAGACCAGGTTATCCAGTCTCATCTATTGGCTAAGATCTACAGTGTGCTTAGTAGATCATCATTTACTTCTCAATTAATGAGTTTTATGTTGTTAGAAAATGTGTGCTTTAAATATAATATAGTCTAAAGCGATTAATCATTTATAACAACCTGAATACAGATATACCCTACTATACCTATAGTGAAAATACAACTCCAGTGATAGTTTCACACGATTTTATAACTGCACAGAGAATAACACGTTGAAAGCGGAAATTCGATGAAGAGTTGGCGGAATATAAAACCCATTAGACCGGAGGCTCAGCGGGGGGGTGGGGGGGTGTCCACCAAATGAGCACAAAACCAGACCCAACTTTTCTAGAGTGAGATTTTGCGTAGAATACGATGCCGAGTGGTAATCAGTCCGCCGTTGGGGCGTTTTCGAGATATTCGGGGTCAAAGGTCAAATGAGTTCTAAGTGAAACCTGTTCTAATTAATAATAGGAACATTTAAAATTTATCTTTAGGTGGTCTTAGCACCGAACTTTTACTTTGGAACGTCGAAAATGATCTTGCATAACAGAACCAACACACTTTGAAACCTGTTTCAAAAATACGTAAAAACTGTCAAATCGAAATCTCTCAGATTAATTTCCACAACGATTGTTATACATAATGATACTACATGTAGTTATCTGAAAAACAATTGAATAGTTTCAGTTTTGGACTCCAGCCTGCAGGAAAACCGACGTTTATCTGTGACGGGAAAACACGTATCTGACGACGGGATTAAAAGTTTGCAAATATTTTTATGAGTTTTTATGAATTTCTCCGGAACATGGACGCAGATAAAACCGACGAATGCATTGTACATAGTAATTCACAGGATATATATGTCGTATTGGTAAATGTTAGCGGGAAAAATTTGGGCAGGATTTGTGACGCGGCCTGCAGACTCGAGTCCAGCCATGGAACTGTTCAATTGTTTTTTCAGACGACTTGTATCATTATGTAAAGCATTCATTGTAAAACTAATTCGGAGAGATTTTGATTTAACAGTTTTTATGTATTTTTGAAACAGGCTCCGAAGCGTTTTGGTTCTGTCATGCAAGATCATTTTCGACGTTCCAAAGTAAAAGTTCGGTGCTAAGACCACCTAAAGATAAATTTAAAATGTTTCTATTATTGATTAGAACAGGTTTCGCTTTAGTTTTTGTATTTAACGCTGACATTTGTTACTTTAAATCTTCCTAGTGCTAAAACGGAAAATGTGACCTTTTGACCTCTGGGGTCACAAAGAACAAAAGTGAATTTAGCAAGTTTACATTTTCATTGAAAGTGTGATTACTTTCGATCATTTTCAGCAAATTTTTATGATACAGGAATGACCACGCATTCACTTTCAGTGCAAATGAACCCATTTGACCTTTGACCCCGAATATCTGGAAAACGCCCCAACGGCGGACTGATTACCACTTGGCATCGTCTTCTACGCAAAATTTTACTCTAGAAAAGTTGGGTCTGGTTTTGTGCCCATTTGATGGACCCCCCCCCCCCCGCACTGAGCCTCCAGACTACATATATAACCACACAGAATCATGTGCTTAGCTTGATGCGACGGGGTGGTGGGGGGCAAGGTAGCGACGTCAGCCCAACTACAGGTTCAACAATCGTTTGATACTTCCAATCGCACGTCCTTGTAAGAACTGTCTGGATTCATTATTAATGTGACCCAACACCCCAATATCTTTAAAACTATACCATACTAAAACAATCTACAGAATAATCCTGTGGTCACATCAAACACATAGAATACAACCTTAACTCTACAATCCGGTGGTCAGATCCAACATAAAAATAACCTTTTCGATAAGGATTTTCCCTTTTTCAACTTTTACTTTTGATTTTCTACTTTTTACTCTAGATCGCATTTAAACACCATACCATTTTCATCTCTATACGCCGCCATATTTAAACACCAGATCATTTTCATCCCGATACCCCACCATATTTAAACACCATATCATTTTTAACCCGATACCCCGCCATATTTAAACACCATATCATTTTCATCCCGATATCCCGCAATAAGTCCACAAGACAAAACACCCAAACAGAAGTCAGTACAGTTATTGGCAGCCTTTCTTATTCAGAAGATATTTTTAAGATGATGGAGAGGGTGGGACTGATAGTTACAGGTGTGATAATCTGTATGCTTATTATAAAACGCCGTTTTTACTGATTGAACACGGCATCGAAGTCAATACGGCAGATGCACATGGAATGAATGAATGAATGAAACAGGGTTTTATGGCACGTCAGCTCCAACTGGGCTATATTGTGCCATGTACACAAATATTTAATAATGAGAAACAAGATGATATATCTATTTACGATGCACATGGATATCCTGTGTTCTTTCAACCGAAACAGGTGAACTAAAATTAGTGACACTGTTAATTATGTCTTGACTGTGGTTAGGGCTAGAGTATTTTGTATTTTCTTTGGTAGTTACAGTATCTCTTGTTATAAAATTTAAAAAAAAGTATTTTGCCTTCCTTATTCTTCCCCTTCCCACCACCGTATTCAAATAGCCTGTGCCCGTTACTGCCACAAAGGACAACGTGACATCCTATTGTTCATCCTTCAATACCTGATGTGTAACCCATTGCGCTGCATTTTACACATTATGTTTGATTTGATATCTCTTGTTGGGGGGGGGGGGGGGGGGAGTGTCTTTATTTTCAAGTTTTAATATCTTTTCCATTATAAAAACATTTGATTATCTTACAGTATAAAAATCAATACAACTATAAATATTGATATGTGTGACGCATACTCTCTCCTCTGTTACATCTTATCCGTCTGGAATCGAGCGGATTTTATCTGTTACATATTTTAATAGCCTTGTGATCGTCTACTATTGTCTCTGTTTATATTTGTTTCTCATTTTCTCTTTAGGGCTCGTCTTGCGTATATTTTTATTTCCGCTTTTAAGGCGAGAATTTCATATTTTCTAAGAAAATCAAAACATATAGAAAATCTCATACCAGTCTGTTTTGATATAAAAAAATATCAACACAAGTTGATAAAGTAACAGAAAACGAGGCTCTGTCGAGTTTTTTTTTTTACTTTATCAACGAGTGTTGATATTTTTTGATAAGAAATGAACTGTTTTTTGAAAATATAAAAAAGTAGTTCCTTTTCAACTGACCAATCAAATTCATGTAGATTATGAAATATATATCACACAAGCGACATCTACTGTAGAATGTATTCTTCTGTGTCTTTTGCTCAAAAGGTTGTCAACTCACTATTATACGATCATATGTATCATTCTCACACTTAAAAAAGCCTTCACCACGGAAATAATAACACAATTACCTCCCTTGTTTTTCTATCCCCCCAATCTCAAACGTTTGAATTTGAAGTTGGAAATGATATTTTTGCCAATTTCTCAACTGGCAATAGTGTATTATAGAATTCAGAGGATTAATCTTTAACAAGACAGGACTGTTTATAGATACCATCTATTTTAAGGCTTTATTTTAATACATTTTAAAAATATAACTTAAAAATAAGAAATTGTCGCTTTAAGTACAGGTTCATTATACCTCAGTCAGAATGTGACAGGGAGTAGAGTCACCTGTCCAACCTCGTCGAATTTCTCTTATTCCTCCAATTACTAAAGACCCCTATGCACAAGCGAATTATTTTTCTACGATATGGACGTAAATCTCCAGGACAGAACCCAGCGAATTATCGAAATAAGAATTAAACCATATGTCCCGAAATGACCAAGTTCGTGTTGATTGGACGTTAAACCCTATTTCTCACTCTCTCTAATGCTAAAGTATATCTATACCCGTGTATATATATTAGCGCCATGTTTAAATAAGTAAAATAAAATTACACACGCGCTTTTTAGAAGTGTCTTTTAGAGAGTTAATCCAGACATCACATAATTTATGGATGATATATATTTTATATATAGTAAAATATCTGTACCGATGATATACGTGACAGCCTGAACTGACAAGGGAATTGTCGTATTGTCCTTAAACTGTCCATTATGAAAGACCAAAACGGAATGGACATACGTGGGATAATATGTCCAAGCACCCATTACAAACATGCGCAAAAATGCATATGAGCAAATTTACATATAGGAGTAAATGTTGTGCATGTGGACAAGGCTTTAGTACATGAATTAACTTTAGCGATAAGAAAGATTTTACCTGATCTCCCAGTCATATTGTGTTATTCATGTTCAGTGTGTATTGTTATACGAGACTACTGATAATATGTTCGTCACAAGGAAGTGTATCGTACAAGATTAAGTGTGACAAATTTCAGTTAATTTGACAAATTTACATGAACCAGTTTAAGTTTTATTTATGGCAATGAGTTGTGAGGAATTGAGAGAACGGTGAGTAGGTTATAGATATTATACTTATATTAATGACATGACATAAAGTGATCAGGTGAGATGATTGTATTTGTACTTGTTTTTTTTAGGTGATTATTGATAGATATATAGACATATATGCTGGGTTATATGTAATATTAATTAAAATTACAGGTCATGATAACATTGATAATATCTGAGTATCCAAACTTTGCTGTTACCGAGATATGGGGGTTACCATACATTTCGTGTGGCACGCAATAATCAACTTATTTCAATGAAACTCACAGATTATGATAACATTAATAATATCTCAAAGTAGGAAAAAGTTTCGACCACTTCCGGTTAGCGGTTTCCGGGATATCAGGTTACCACAAATTTCATGTGGCACGGCTACAGACCGCAATTACCAACCGATATCAATAAAACTTGCAGATTATAATTACATTAATAATATCTCAGAGTAGGCAAAGTTTCGACCACTTCCGGTTACCAGTGTCTGAGATATCAGGTTACCACACATTTTATGTGGCACGACTGCAGACCACAATTATCAACCGGTATCCACGAAACTTACAGAATATGACAACATTAATAATATCTCAGAGTAGGCAACATTTCGACCATTTCCGGTTAGCGGTTTCCGAGATATCAGGTTACCACACATTTCATGTGGCACGACTGCAGACCACAATTACCAACCGATTTCAATGAAACTCTCAGATTATAATTACATTAATAATATCTCAGAGTAGGCAACATTTCGACAACTACCGGTTAGCAGTTTCCGAGATATCAGGTTATCACACATTACATGTGGCACGACTGCAGACGACAATTTTCAACCGATACTTACAGAATATGATAACATTACTAATATCCACGAGTAGGCAACATTTCGATCACTTCCGGTTAGCGGTTTCCGAGATAAAGGTACCACACGTTTCATTTGGGATGACTGCAGACCACAATTATCAACCAATATCCATAAAACTTATAGAATATGATATAAGAATCTCCTAAGAGTCTTTTTTGATATCAAAAAAGACTCGTAGTATATTTTATTTATCACCGAATCCTTTCTTACATGCGCCAATAAATATAACTCTTGCTAAAGATTTCACTTTTACTGAATCTGATTACATTACGGCGTAGTGATACATCAATTTTTGACAGCAATTCAACCATTGTAAAGTGTTTCCATCAAGGTCAATTAAATAAAAATAGTTCATTTTTAATAATAATAATAATAATAAAAAAAGTTTATTTTATTAAAAAACGATCTGTTCTTTGAAATATAAAAAAAGTAGTTCCTTTTCAACTGACCAATCAAATTCATGTAAAGCGATATCTCCTAAGGAGATATTGCAGTAGATTATGAAATATCGACTGTAGAATGTATTATTGGGTGATAAAACATGAATAATATCTCAGAGTAGCCAAAATCTCGACCACTTCCTGTTAGCAGTTTCCGAGATGTCAGGTCACCACACACATTTCATGTGGCACGGCTACAGACCGCAATTACCAACCGATTTCCATGATAACATTATTAATATCTCAGAGTAGGCAATCATAATTGTGGTCTGCAGTCGTGCCACGTGAAATGTGTGGTAACCTAATATCTCGGAAACCGCTAATCGGAAGTGGCCGAAACTTTGCCTACTCTGAGATATTATTAATGTTATCATAATCTGCAAGTTTTATTGAAATCGGTTGATAATTGTGGCCTGCAGTAGTGCCACATGAAATTTGTGTCAATTTGATGTCTTTGAAATTGTTGACCGGAAGTGGTCGAAATTTTGGTTACTCTAAGATATTATTAATGCTATCATGATCTTTAAGTTTCATTGAAATCGGTTGATAATTGCGGTACGGAGACTTGCCACATGCGGCAAATGGTCTCCGAATTGTCTTACCACATGGGGCAAATAACCCCAGCCGTAACAATAAGACGGGGTCGGGGGTAGGGGGGGGGGGGCGCCTCTAAAAGGCAACTACACCAGCTCTACATATTGGTATATAGTGAGTAAACAATAACACTATCAGATGGATAAAAACTCCAAAATAAATCCTTAAACATACAAGAGCTAAATCTGGCTATTACAGGTCTTTCTTTTGGTATTAGTTTTCAATCGTGGACGTTCGTGTGGATGACTGGTATCTTATGCTTAGGAATTTAATAAAAACAGGCGCATCCGTTATTTGTAAATATATTGTCCGCCCCAGTCGCCTTAATAACTGAGCTGGCAACCTATCATTAACACTTATTAATTTTTGTATTTCAGGTTAAACGAGGCTGTAAATAAAAATGATACAGTTGCAGTAGAAAGAATTCTACAGAGGTATATGACATTAGATGACGACCAGATTTGGGTAGTTCTCTGTGAAGATGCTCTTAAGAACAGATGTCTGCCTATGGTGAAATTGTTGCTGCCACCAAAGAGTACCGCTAACGTCGACATAACCACCAAAATACGACTGATGAACGCCGCAAAAAAATCTGATTTCGTGGAGGGTGTTAAATGTCTCCACTCTAAAAGAGTACCTCTTTATTTTTTACAGATTCAAGATTAGGTTACAACTGGAGTGCCCTCATTGAATGTGTCCAAAACAGTAAGGTCGAGCTGCTCAAATATCTGCTTCAACTGAAAGATCTAGATAAAAACCCAGACAAAAAGGAAACGTTAATAATGTTATGTTGCCATCAACTAAATACTGAAAGTTTGAAGATTTTGTTGAACAGTGTACTAAAAAATACTACCGTGGCTGGTGGAATAAGGAAGTTCTTGATTGTGTAAAATTATTGGTGGAGGCAGGGGCGGATATTAATCTACAAGATTTTAATGGGACAACGCCCATCCAACTGGCTGCTGAATGTGGTACGGTGACTACGGTAGAAAGAGGAGCAAACTTTGAAACAACAGACCATCAAAGTACACTTCTTCATTGTCTTGCAAGGAGTTTCCGGAAGTCAGATTCGTACGATGAATGTGTTCAACTATTAATGTCTCAAGGAATGGACATAAACAAACTGAACTCATGGAATGAAACTCCACTGTATTTAGCAGTATGTCAAAGAAATGAAGAGATGGTGAAGACATTAATTAAATCACACTGTGATGTCAATATTAAAGCAGGTAAAGACTTGTCACCCGTCTTACTGGAGTCAATAAGAAAACAAGATGCGACTATGGCTGAAACACTGATTAAAGCTTGGTGTGATGTTAACATCGCTGATAAAAACGGTGTAACACCTTTAATGGAGTCAATAAGAAGACACGAGACGACTATCGCTAAAACACTGATTACACCTTTAATGGAGTCAAAAAGAGGACAACAGACGACTACTGCTGAGATACTGATAAAAGCTGGGTGTGATGTTAACAGCACTGATGGAAACGGCGTTACACCTTTAATGGAATGTGTGAAGACAGGTAATCCTTTTTTAGTTAAACAACTTATTGACCGCGGTGCATCTGTCAACGCTAAAGATAACAAAGGATGTTTTGTATTGGACTATTTCTTACGATCTTGCCAACATACGATAGATCAATTTACTTCAGTAGGCATTGTTAAGAAGATGATAGAGACTGGGGCTGATATTCACAAATGTAATAATCTGTTGTGTAGAGCAATCAGTGGTGGACATTATAAGGCCGCTTCATTACTTATTGAACACAGCATCGATGTTAATACAGTGGACGAAAATGGCGATGATCCCCTTGCTCTTGCCTCCGAAAAAGGTAAATTAGAACTAGTGACATTGTTGACATCAACAGATTGTGATATAAATCACCAGAATCTAAAAGGAGAAACGGCGTTGCACAAAGCTATACAAGTGTCAAGATATTCTGCTAATTATGAAGACAAGGAGAAAATAATAAAAATGTTACTACAGAATGGGATGAACGTCAATCTTAGTGACGTCGATGGACTAACGGCCTTGTTCATAGCAGTAGGTAATAGAGAAAGATCTATTACCGAAGAATTATTGAAGGCTGGTGCTGATGTAAACCACTGTGATAACAGAGGAACAACCCCAATGATGATCGCAGTTAAAAATAAGGATAATGTTATAGCAAATATTGTACTACAAGCTGGTGCCGATCTGAAACCGAAAGATGTATTGGGTAGAAATGCGCTATACCTTGCAGTACTCTTGAAAGTTTCACTGGATTTAGATGTTTTACTTAAATATTCAAATTTGAGAAGTGAAGCAGATAACGCCACAGATGAGGAAGGCAAAACATCTTTAATGGCGACAGCAGAAAGAGGACCTAAACCTATGGTAGAAACACTACTCAATGTTGGTTGTAATATCAACCTACAAGATCATTGTGGTAAGACGGCATTGATGTTTGCTGTTGACAACCAGGATGAAACTATTTTATCACTTCTACTACAGAATGGTGCAGACTATAATATTTGTGATGCCGATGGCAGAACAGCGTTGCTGTTGGCAGCAGAAAGAGGACCTAAAGACATAGTAGAAAAACTACTCATTGCTGGCTGTAATATCAACTTACAAGACCATCGTGGTAAGACGGCGTTGATGTTTGCTGTAGACAACCAGCATGAAACTATTTTATCACTTCTATTACAGAATGGTACAGACTATAATATTTGTGATAACAATGGCCAAACAGCGCTGATAGTGGCAGTACAGAAACAAAAAGAAATTCATTGTGAGGATTTACTGAAAGCTGGGGCTGATGTTAATTTGAGTGATAACGATGGAAATACAACTTTGTTGATTGCAGTCCGGTTGAATAACAGGAAGATTGTAAATGGTTTACTGAAAGCTGGAGCCGATGTTAATCTGAGTGATGATAATGGAAAGACGGCTTTGATGGCAGCGGCACGGAACCATAACAGATCTTTTTTAGAATGTTTACTTAATGCTGGAAGATCTCATATGGTATCTCGTTACAGAAAATTGTTCTCTCAGAGGTTTGGATCTTTCAAATGTCAAAGATAAATTTCACTTTTCCGATATCTTGAGGCTTTCTAAAAAATATTTTGAAAGCGGTGCACCGAAGAGTGAAATAGAGAAAATGATTTCGATGTCGTCGGTCTTAAATACTGGAGAATCTGAAGATAAACAACAGCTTGGTAATTTCCGCGATTTCTGTAAATCAAGAAGTTTGAAGTCAAGATGTAGAAGAGAAATCAGAAACTGTATCGGATCAGGAATCAGCAGTAAAATAACACAAGTTGGTTTACCACAACGTCTACAAGATTATGTCGTCATGAAAGACCTGATACCCGAGAAATACTTTACTCTTGTAATAAACGATAAAGATGACGACACAAGGACCGATAATACTACGTCGCCAGTGTCTGTATTCACGACTTCCAACTTTCTTCCCATTTATGGCAATTATGAATCAAATTACAATTATTTTTATGATCCTTCTGACCGAAGACTTTATGACCGTAACTTTGAGCAGATCTAACATATTAGATCAGGTTTTCCAGTGTAGGATCTACAGTAATTCTTTTTATCATTATCTTAGATCAGGTTATCCAGTCTGTGTGCTAAGTAACTCATGATTTAGTTAGATGTTGCTTCTCAATTAAGAAGATTATGTTAGAAATGTGTGCCGTTATTTTGTATTTGAAAGGAAACTGTGTTTGACATATTACCGCTGTTTTACTTTAAGTAAATCAACATGCCCTTTAAATAAAGTCTAAAGGCAGCTACTATCCTACGGTGATAATACTGCTCACATTAATTTAATGGGTGATAGTTTCGTACAGTGTTTAAGGCGTTGAAAGCTGAAATTCGCTGAAGAGTTGGCTGAAACGTCACTGTACGGACAATATTTCTCTTATTAATCCATATATAACCGCACAAAATCCATTAGAAGCTTAGCTTTATGAAAGGCAAAGAATCACGCCCCCCCCCCCCGAGCCAGCAATCTTTTAATAATTCGAAATCTACTTTGTTTAAACCATTTTTTTAAAATTGCATGTCCTTGTAAGAACTGCCTGGATTCATTTCTTGTGGGACCCACAAAACTCCAGTTACGTGAAGTAATGGAACAATCCTTTATTCTACAATCCTGTGTTCAGCTCAAATACAAACAAGGCTACCTTCGTTTTACAATATGTCAGGATAAATTACCTGGGTTAGTTTTGATGTCAACTGAAAGAGTACTGACTACTGTATCAAAATGTACATAACATGGTTATTGATGCTTTTTCACATTTGCTTAATTATTTTTTTCATTTCACATTTTAGAATCATAATTATACTTGTATTTTGTTTTAAACTGTGTTTTGATTTTAGATACATAAAATATATTAGCCTTGTCTTTTGATTCTTGTATGTTATATCATGGCGCCTTTTGTATATTTTGCACCCTTCTTAACTAAGGCAAACTATTAAATTTGTGATACAGTTTGTTGTTTCTGATTTTGTTCGTGGTATGTCCGATCGATTTTCAGTGCTCTGCGAATGCTATATAGTTTTAAATAGATACATTACAAAATTGGGGAAAAGCATTGGGGTCACGAGAGGACAACTTTCCGCAACTTTCCTTATCAGAGTTACCAAACACCTTTGCCAAAAACGCTACGCGGTAGAGGCTACCGTCATTAGTGGGTCTTGTAAAGCATTGAGGCCATAAAAAGACGAATGGTATCAGTATCTAAGCCCACATTTAAAGTGGATTTGGCATGGCCGAACAATGTTGTCTATTGACTCAATCTGAAGTGGGCTGATCACCATAATTGACTACCCAGGAGGAGTTATATTATTACAGGGGATTGCAAGTAACAGTTTGATACACATTTTGTGATTGTAGTTCCCCACAAATTGTCGAAGGTAGGTATTGAGATATGCTTTTAATGGTGACTTTGACCTACTCAGAAGTGGGTTAATCACTACAATTGACTACTCAGAAGGTTTGAAGTTGCCCTAGTGGGTCCCAAGGAACGGAGTTTACCCATTTTGTTTTTGTACTGGGGGTATGTACTGAGATATGCAAATAAGGTAGATTAGGCGTGGTCCACCAATTGTGACCTGTGTCCAACTCAGAAACGAGTTAATTCCCTCAATGTACGCCCCAGAAGGATCCATATGCCCCAAGGAACGGCGTGATATTCATTGCATTTAAGGTAGATTGTGCGTGACCAAGTTGACTTTGTCGTAATGAAAAGGGCGACAATTACATGGCCGTTATCAGTCACCAAAGGACTACTATTGGCGAAAATCTGCACTGGAGAATAATATGTAGAACGACCAAAGATGACAGTAGAAAATCAAAATCAGTCTATGAAAATGAAATTCTGACGATTTAAAGTTGAAAATGCATACATTTACAGGTTTCCACCATAAAAATAACCTTTTAGATAAGGATTTTCCCTTTTTCTTTTTCAACTTTTACTTTTGATTTTCTATTTTTTACTCTAGATCGCATTTTCATCTTGATACCCCGCCATATTTAAACACCATATCATTTTCATCCCTATATCCCGCAATAAGTGAAGTCCATAAGACAAAACATTCAAACAGAAGTCAGTGTAGTTATTGGCAGCCTTTCTTATTCAGAAGATATTTTTTTTAAGATGATGGAGAGGGTGGGACTGATAGTTACAGGTGTGATAATCTGTATGGTTATTATAAAACGCCGTTATTACTGATTGAACACGGCATCGAAGTCAGTACGTTAGACGCAAATGGGATGAATGAATAAACAGGGTTTTATGGCACGTCAGCTCCAACCGGGATATATTGCGCCAAACATACGGTGAATAATGAGGCAAATTAAAAGATATCACATAAAGTATTCATGTACACAAATAAAAACAAATATCACAGTATATTAAATAATTAAAAATAAAAAACACAACTTCATGTACACAAATATTTAAAAATGAAAACAAGATGATATATATTTAAGATGCACATGGATATCACACCACCTCCTCTGTTCTTTCAACCGAAACAGGTGAACTAAAATTAGTGACACTGTTAATTATGTCTTGACAGTGGTTAGGGCTAGAGTATACAGTATCCCTAGTTATAAAAACTAAAACAAAAAGTATTTGCCTTCCTTATTGTTCCCCTTGCAAAGAGGACGCTTGGTGTCCATATTACCAGTTTGTTTATCTCTTCGTGTTTCATGCTTCAACTATCCGACGATATCCCAAATCTTTAAAATTGTTACCCCCCCCCCTCCGTTGACAGCGCTTGTTTTGGTTGATATAGCACCATCTGTTACAATACGATTTGTTAACACAGCTAGCCGATCGGCAAGACGTTAAACCCCATTTCATTTCTTTTCATTGCCGTTTACACAACTGGTGTACTGTAAATATACCAGGCATACTCAACCACATTCACTCTCTAAAAACACCGACAAATATATTTCTCTACTGTACAGAATTACACGGGCCATTTATTGTCGTAATCAGGTGATATATTTGAGCAACATATTGGACGTTTTTTAAATGATAATTCGCTTGAGGTAACTAAATGAATAAACAATTTTATTACTATACAAGTGTTGATGCTCTATTCATTTCTTTGTGTACAGGTTCAATAGATCGCCATATTGCTACTTAACGTTTCTTTGTGTACAGGTTCAATAGATCGCCATATTGCTTGTTAACGTTTCTTTGTGCATAACCTGGCCATGTTTAAATAGAAAAATCTACTTGAACACACCAAAGAATAAGACCTGTTCCTGAATGTAAAAAAAGCACAACTAATTAGTTTTCAATATCATTTAGAATTTGACGAACATCTTGATCAGAAATACAATCAACAGTTCTAGTATACAGCTCAATTACTGATCTCTGTGGCACCCTACAGCAGTGACTGTAACGTGTGGAGCGTGGGGCTAAGCAGCTGTATACAATAACTCACTGCTTATTCTGTGGCACCCCACAGCACTTCTTATTCTGTGTGTAGTTTCTTGTTAGTTGTATTAAAGTGGAGGTTACTGCTGATGAAATTCATTTTTTCACATTTGTTTCGAAGGCGAATCGTTCTCCACTGCCTGCAATCAAATAGCCTGTGTCCGCCACACTTCCCCGAAGGACAATGTGACATATGATGTTTCATGGTTGAAGAGTTGCCCTTCTAATACCCGACATGTCACCCTTTGCGCTGTGCGCAGCTTTCTATACATTATATTTGATCTGATTTCTCTTGGGGTAGTGCGGGGGGGGGGGGGGTAATTTTTTTATATCTTTTGCATTATAAAGGCAATATATTAACTTATAGTATCGTAATCAATACAGCTATAAATATTGATATGTTTATCCGTAGAATCGGGTGGATGTCCTCGACATCTTCCATCACTCTAATTCACTGTAGGTGGTAGTTGGGTATCGTGGAACATCTGATGTAACTTCTCATATAACTAATTATCAGTTATATTTTTTCCGACAAATCCAGTGGTTTAACGAGTGCACTATGAGTCATTGCGTCAAGTTTGAAGATATAAGATTGTATACTGATTAACCACAATGTTATATAACCCTATATTGGAATAGATCCATTTGAAATGTGCACAAGTTAGTTTATCCATCTCTTGGGTTTTCTCCACCGTAAAACAATTCAACCCCACCTACTGCTGAAGACCCCTACTGACAATCAAATTATTGAATAAAAATTGTAAGATAAATTAGTCCTGATATGACCTAGGTTGTGTCGGGTGGCTGTTACTCCGCACCCCCCCCCCCCTCTCTCTCTTTCGGATTTCTATCAAATTAGTGGTAAATAGTTATACCAAAGGGTATGCAATAATATCCTGTTTTTAGAACAGGTTGCTGGTAGCACCCCCACCCCACCCCTACACACACAAAAAATAACCAGAAAGGCCAAGTAAAGTGATTGCCCATGTATATGTTTTTGGATAGATCTGTTTATAGAACTATTTTATCCACAGTAGTAGTAACTTTTGTAACTTTTGTCTTTGTGAGATAAATTAGAGCATACATTGTAAGGATGAGACATAGCGAATTATAAATATACTTAAAATGTGCCAAGCGTACATTATTTATACTAGTTGCAATATTGGACCAGCGTGACATATTTCATTGAAATGCATGTGCTGGATAGTGTCTGTATTTTTAGCTGTTTAATGGTCTCGTGCAAGACATTGCGTAATATATAGATATAGCCCTCGTACATTATCATTATATTACGTAATATCTTTCACTCGACCATTAAACTATCCATATTAACACATATATTTTCCATTTTGAATTAATGTCAATTCTAGTTTAATGTGTGTGTGTGTGTGTGGGGGGGGGGGGGGGGGTTGTGTGTGATGGTGTGTGTGTCTGTGTCTGTGTGGGTTGGACTTTGTGGGAGTCGTTAAAGTATGAACACGCCATACGTGTATTTAGCTTGATATATAAGCAAGAAGAAATTAACATTGACGACTACATGGTGAATAATAAGTAGTCTCACTCCAGTCAATATTGTACTTTCATTTTCACTTTACATTCTACGACCGTTGTGTTTCTTAGAAATTAAAAAACTATGAATAGAATGTTAGCCTGTTTAACCAGACAATTGAAATCCTGCGTGGCTGGTTATACGAGACTATTTGTTATATATGTTACCAGGTGTTATTCGAGACTATATGTGGTATATCAAACAAGATTCACTGTGATCAATTTACCACCAAAGTTTTTAACAAATTAACATTGTCTCCAGTTTAACGTGTTACGATGAGTTGGCGTAAATCAGAGGAATTAAAACAAGAGTAAGTAGGTCATATTATACATGTTCAATTGTATCACGTAATATATTTTATTATAGACATCTACCGTATGTATTATCGCTATTCTATTATACATATACTATTCAAAAAAAGTAGGGGATATTTGATTTTGGGGGCATAATACTAAAATATGCAAATGACTACGAAAAAAGTCACTATAGAACCTAACAGAAGAAACATTTCCAGTTACATGTGACGCCCAAACGCACCAATAGCTACCGCATGGAATGCAGGTGATGCTTGGGATCATTATGGGGGTCCAACCCAAGATTTGCACGACTCTGACTTTGAATGTTACAGTCATTGTGGCATTGAATTCCAGGGTGGAAACATCAGTTTAATTGTTTTAGTGACCAGAAAACAAATTTTGATATGCGTCGGCTTACCCAAAATGA